CTTTTCTCAGTTTAGCTTGACGTCCGGATGCTGACGTCACTGCGGTGACGTCACGCGCATTGGCCTCACTGGAGCCCGCTGGAGCACAGCCTCTGGTGCTGTCTATCTCAGGAGCTGCCCTGAACACGGGCAGGGCTGTGCGGCTGACAGCCTGCAGGCCGCGCACGGCAGGCGAGGGGCTAAACTGCAGCCCCCAGGCTGCCTCCCAAGTGCTGCTCCTTCCATTGCTCCAACTGCTGCCCTCAGAGCCTTTCGGCTTCTCCCTTTTCTGGTGCATTTCTTGTCCAGACCACTGTGGGTGCGTCGGCAAGTCCCTGCAGGGTCTGAGATGCTAGGATCCAGGTGGCCCCATGAGGCAGGGCAGTTTGCCCAGCACCAGGACTGCCAGGTGGTTTCCCCAGATGAGAAAGAGTGGGAACCCCACACGGGGAGGCAGCGGGGTGGGAGATACTACGGGGCTGTGGGTTATAGCCCTATGCAGTGGAGAGGGCATGTCGGGGGATGCAGGGAAACCCAGGTTTTGGGGGTCGGGTGCACTGTGGGGGGGGACGCAGGGGAGCCCATGTGGCTGGCAGGCCGGGGGAGCGCAAGGGAGCCCATGTGGTGGGGGAAGTGTAGCAAAGCCCATGGGGTGGGGGGAGCATGCATGAGGCAACCCATTCATTGCTCAGCCCGGGGGGAGCCTGTGGTCTGCATGGAGGAGGCCCCTGACTGCTGAGAAATTGGAGAGTCCTTCCTTAATAAAAGTAATGTTCACATATTCTAAATATATTTAACGTGATGACATTTTGAAGGTAAATCTAGGACACCATATCAATAATAACCTAGTAATCTGACTAAAACTTGTGTCCAGTTCTTGTTGAAAATCAGTGACATTTGGACTCTGAAATCACTTAGAAGCTCTTGAAAATGTTCCTGTCTTCAAGTGAAAGTACTGCATCCAAGTACTTTCTTTTCAGACTAGATCTAATGGCTTCGTTTGGCTTTAAAATCTGACACACATAGTGTTGCTAAGGATGCATGCTTGCTGCGTTGAACGGCTTGCAATGAGAGGTTGTAGAAATTGGTGCCTTATAGGATTGGTAATAATAACTCCAGTGTTTCTAATAATTTAGACTTCCCAAGTGGTTTACTGCCTGTATGGGCCTGCTCATTCTGAGTTGGTGGTACCAGATAAGTTTCAATATCATAAAACCATTACTAATGGTATTTTGATTGTCAGCTAAGAGGCTGAGAATTGAATGACTGTGGAGACTTAATTTTCTTTAGCATACTGGTCTGCTGCATTTCTAGGGGTAAAGTTATGTGCCTTATATTTTTTGTTCCAGATTTGGAGATTTGGTTTAGATTTTATAAAGCACTTTCTTATTGTTTGGATACAGCTGTTTTTCTTGTTCTTCCCCTTCCCCTGTATCTAAATGTCTCCTTCTAATACTTTTTCACTTCAGTGGTATTTTAGGATGCAAGTAATTGGTATAAACTGTATTGTTTCTACTTTTTATTGAGCGTAGGTTCTTACCATTCTTGGGCTAAAGCTGTAGGTTCAACTGAGTTGCTTGTGTCAAAATTGCCTTGGTACTTTGACAGCAATTTTTGGTTATAGCACTTTGCTATACAAACAAAATTGATAGAGAGAAATATTGCAACGTGGTCTAATGTATTTGGTATTTTTCAGATGCAAGCCTACAACTGTTAGGTAACTCTGCTGTTTGGTTCTTGCCTTTGGGGAAAACTACTTTCTGTTGTACTTTCAGCTGTCAAAAGGAGCTTATATAGTATATACCATATGCCTGGAAAACTTGGCCTTATTATAGAAAGACTGTGAAAAAAACCCCCAGGAATGTTTTTTGCTACTTCAGGAGATAAATAAATAAACAAAATGAGATCCTTCCAGATTATCTCAAGTTAGAGTGGATGTTCACTGCTGACTATGATGGCTTCTATAATTCATCAGAGAAACCTTGTTTTTATTGTCTTGTCTTTGAAAAACTCTCGGTTCTGATGAGAGCTGGGAGTTATTTCAAGGAGGGTATTCAAGGAGAAAATTTGAGGAAAGGGAATTGATTGTGGTGTCTTTTAAGTGCCAGCTCCCAAGAACAAGCCATTTAGTAGAATTGGATCTCCATCTTTTCTGTTAATATATAGTAAAATATCTTTAAGCTCCATAAATGTCTTTACAAATGCACTGAATGTTCATAACTTATGTGGTTGCTAGACTGCCTATTCACAACATGTTTAATGTATACCTCTCTAAATAGAAGTATGTATGTACAAAATAACAGTAACAAATTACATTTTGTTTTCAAAAAAATAATTTTCCTCAACAGATAAATAATATCCCTCAAAGCAAGGAAATAAAGTCAAGCTATTTAATAGTTCCTATTATCTAGTCTCTGTCCTAGAGAGAATCACCATTTTGTTAGTTGTATTTTTTTTTTATATTTTCTGCACAACTCTACTTGCTAGAAAAATGCCTTTTTGAAAAATAAAGGCTGATATACTAGTGCATCAGTTTAGTAAAGATATGTTGAGCATATGGAGGAGAATAAAATGGGTGTTATCAAAGAAAAAAATATTTTACTTTGGCTAAACTTCTCAGTAGAGCTAAACTTTAGAGTCAAATCCTTAAAAAGGCCAGCAACATTGTTGGACTCAAAGTAAACCTAAGTGTCCCTGCTTCTAAATTGCAATATAATAAAATTACTTGGGGAGGTCCATAGTTACTCACATTCTATATTGTAAGCTGGCAAAGAAACTTTGTTAGCCCCTGATCTCAGTGGAAAAAAACTGACCCTAACTTTAATTTTAGATCTGCTATTGTTTTTGTGACATCCTTTTTCATAATTTATGGCCAATGGAAAGCAGTGCCTAAATTTTGCATGTGGCTTGCTTTTAGGATAAATCCTCTCCAGTACAACAGAGTTTACTTTTGGAAGGAAGCATGCCCTCTTTCGAATAGAAGATGGTGATCCCGAAGTATGATGATGGAGAAGGGGATGAGTTCAATAGAAGTGTTACCTTCCAACTCATCTCAGATTACAGCTGTAAAGGTGATCGTCAAAGAACATGAAACAAAGCAAACCCAAAGAGGGAAACGAGTGGGTTTTGTACTTGTACATGCAGGTAAGACATCCAAAGTTTGATGCACGTGGAACAGAAGAGCAGCATGCATCTACAGGATGCCAATTTAAATTCCATAATATGATATGGAGCTAGCTAAATTTATGAATTGGTTTGAGTTCTGGACAACAAATCTTTTATATCTTGTTGTAGAGAACCTATTTGGTAAGTACACTGGCCGGAAGCTCTCGGACACTTACTATTTAGATCCAACATTTAGATAACTTTTGGAAGTTCACAGATACTCTAATGCACAGAACTTTTGTTCGGTAATCAAAGAAACTAGATAGTAAACCGTAAATTGTATAGCAGTTTCTAGTAATTGGGAAGGTTGGGGAGTACACACAAAGGTTACTGTTTGACTTCAGGGTCCCTGTGTAGGAGAGATCCTCCAGCTAGATTTCTCCAAGGAGAAAAAGTTTCAGATTTTACTTGATTCTTTAAAACTCCTAACCGTCAGCTCAGTCAGCTTTGTAATATGTCATAGAACCATAGCAAATTAGGGTTGGAAGGGACCTCAGGAGGTCATAGAGTCCAACCCCCTGCTCAAAGCAGGACCTGCCCCAACTAGATTGTCCCAGGCAAGGCTTTGTCTAACCAGGTCTTAAAAACCTCCAAGGATTGAGATTCTACCACCTCTCTGGGTAGCCTGTTTCAGTGGTTTGCTACTCTCCTAGTGAGAGAGTTTTTTCCTAATATCCAACCTAAACTTCCGTTGCTGCAACTTGAGACCATTGCTCCTTTTTCTGTCACCCAACACCACTGAGAACAGTCGAGCTTCATCCTCTTTGGAACCACCCTTCAGGTAATTGAAGGCTGCTGTTAAATTGCTCCTCAGTCTTCTCTTCTCCAGGCTAAATAAGCCCCGTGGCTTCTCCTCATAAGTCATGTGCTCCAGCCTTCTAATCATTTTTGTTGCTCTCTGTTGGACTGTCCAGCTGGTCCACATCCTTTCTATAGTTGGGGGCCCAAATTTGGACACAGCACTCCAGATGTGGCCTCACCAGTGCCAAATAGAGAGGAATAATCACTTCCTTCAGTCTGTTGGCAACACTCCTACAATTCAGCCCAGTATGCTGTTAGCTTTCTTGGCAACAAGGGCACACTGTTGGCTCATACTCTGCTTATTGTCCACTGTAACCCCCAGGTCTTTTTATACAGAGCTGCTGCTTAGCTGGTCAGCTCCCACTCTGTATCGGTGCATGAAGGCTGTTCCATTGTAAATGCAGGACTTTGCACTTTTCCTTACTGAACTTGATCAGATTTCTTTTGGTCCAGTCCTCCAATGTGTTGAGGTCTCTCTGAATCCTAACCCTACTCTCCAGCACATCTACTGCCCCCAGCTTGGTTTCATCTGCAAAGTTGCTGAGGGTGCACTCCATCCCACCTTCCGGGTTATTGATGAAGATATT